GATGTGGAACTTGTGATTCCATCTACCTGCCTTGGGCCTTCACTCGCAGCAACCTCCTCGTGGTGAGGCCTAGGCAATCAATATTATCATCGGTAACGTACTGTAAACTGAAGACAATATCGAGCTAATGGCTGCGAACTTCGAATCCATCTCATAAAACCACGTTCTATATTACATAGAACTATGTAGGATTATTTTAGAAATCGATATGAGATTCAAAGTGTAAAAATGTCTAGTACTTTGAATGTTTTAGAAAATTATTCTAGATAAAGATGTATGGAACTAGAGAAAATTACTTCAGATTTCTTTTCCTTATTTTGTAAATTCTTTGATTGGAATATGAATGCTGCTGGAAGTATGAACATTTTCACAGGACAATGATATAAATGGAACTTTAAAACTTTTTTAAGTATAACAGTGACATTTCGTTATATGTTTCATAATGTCAATAATATTGATTTTCCCTCAACATCCATAATTATTACAAATGTCAATATAACGAAATATCTTTTATGCGATGTTTGTGGTGTAGTAAAAATCTGTGTTGCGATTACGTTTTTGATACGTATTACTCACTTATATGTAATAATATAGAATAAAAATATACTATTAGTCCGATATTTGAAAATATACATGCGTTCGTTGTCACAGTTAAACTGTTGTAGTAACAATGGAATAATAAAATAATTTACTCAAATGTACATAATAATAATACGTATACATATTCATAAAAACAATATTAAACACAATAACTTTTTTATACGTGAAAAAAAACCAATAGGTCCGTCGAGACTCCAACCTAAGACTCCTTTTTAATACGTCTACTCTACAGCGAACGGACGGAAGAAAATCCGTTCACGACCATGGTCCCATCGATAATTTTCCGACGTACCGAACACTCATGAACTAACAACATTGCGTACTTTAGACTCGACAACAAGGTAGAAGTTAGACTAGTTGAGCTCGAATAGAGAGGCGGGCGCTCCGACTGGTGGTCGGGTGGGACCTCTCGCTCCCTGCCGTGGTTGCTGCCATGGTGGAGAGCGAGGGGTCGTGGGGGGCGGTGTCCTCCTTCTGCGAGACGGTGGTCTCGCGGAAGGAGGACGACGAGCGGAGTCGGGAGATGACCGACCCTGCTCGGATCGAGAGGAGGAGGGTGAGACGCGCTGGCGGCC